ACCTCCTCAGCAAGTGCCTTCTGCTGCTCACTCTGGAGTTCAGCAAGTTCTTCTGTCGTCAGCTCCTCTATGTCTTCCCTGCACGAATGCAACTGCGATCGCGGCCATCTCCCCACTCGGGGGTGGGGGTGGGGGTGGGGAGATGGCCACAATCTTGGTTGCCACCCAATGTGGAGTTTGCGACCCAAGTCAAAATTTTCATGAAATTTTTATTCATGACCCGATTTGGTTGTGAACCAAGGCATTCGTGAGCTGAGACACCACTGTAGTGTTGACCATTTCACTATTCAAATCTACAACTTTTTAATAGAAAAGGAACCCAAAGGTTAGGCATGGTAGTATTTCTATTTCGCATTCTCATGTTTCCTTTTATGATTAGAAGAGGATAGTGTTTGCAAAGCTGAAGTAACTGGCTCCACTGTTGATGTATTTAATTGCAGGAAAGTAACTAATGAAACAATAATGGATACTATTTCAAGTTTCTTTTGCATGCATCTTTTTGTGGCTGTTTTTGCGAGTCCATTATAATTTGTTTCAGATGCTATAGATCTTCACTTAGAGAGTACAGCTTCTCTATAATGCTCTCCCCTAATAAGTGCAATAATTAGCACAAAGAAAATGAGACTACTGTTTGGAGTTACCATCATATATACCATCACTTCTAACCATAAGTCAAAAGAGATACCTGCAAAGTTTACTCTGAAAGAAACCCCTGTGGAAGATGAAATGGCAATGGAAGACCATCTTCCCCTCAAAATGCTTATTAACTATTAAGCAGATTGCCTCTAAACAAACATTAGGAAGAATGGAAAAGTAGCCTTTTAAGGTCCTTCAGCTGCTCTAAGAAGCCAGCTTTCACACTTGTTAAGTCAGATGCCAGATAAGTGCTTTGCTTCTGGGAGAAAGGAGGTGTGTCAGAATCATCTCTTATGCAGCGGGATGATTTTAAAGCAAACAAATAAATAAATAATGGTGCAGCACATCTTTGTATATGCTCATATGCAGTTATCCTTCACCTTAACAGAAATAATTGCAAACATTTTTAAGCTGCAAAACTCCTCTCCCGATTGTCCATATCTGTATTCTTAGTGACACACACTAACCAATTAATGCCCACCACTGACAGCTTTGAACTGAACTATCCTGAAATCTAGCAAGATCATTTCATCTGTCATCTCAAAAACTGAGGACAGAAACGTGTACACTTGCTTGGAAAAGACTGACAACTTGATCAAATACTTTTCTTAAAACATTTCACTGTTTTCACCTTCAGATAAATAAATATTTAAGACAAAAAGTGAAAGCTTAATTCTGTGTTTGTCAGTTCTTCAGGTACTGTTTCTGGTGCTAAGATAAATAAGCCTCAAAATAAGTGCCTGAAGCCAAAGGACTGATTTTTACTGAGCTCAGCGTTGCCAGCAAGGGTTCCCCCCCTTTTCACACTGCGTCCACGCTGAATCAAGGCATCTGCAATGAACATCTGATGGGATGTTAGCCACAATGAAAACATCTGGGAATTGGTTAAAGGCAGTCTTAGACAATCTTTCATCCTAGACAAATGTCTGTCAGTTACCTCCTGTCTGAATTCCATGCCTGTTTATATATAATGAGCATACCAAGGATCATTTGAAGAAGAAAAAGCCCAAACCACACTATCCATTGCCTTGCTGTTCAATGCACTTCTCTGTACTCGCCTAATGATAAAGATGTTGTTCGAAGCAACTGCAGCACCAGTGTCAGAATACAAGGGAGCAAGGGCAGCATAAATAGGGGCAGAAAGCATACATGAATGTGCACCCTCAGTGGGCCCTGCATACCAAGTAAAGGTCCATGGGCAAAGGACTTGCCCAGACTATACAGAAACGGGAGCAGGTACGATTGGTTTTGCAGGTGGGGGCCAGCCTGTTCCTCTCCACGTTCACACAGCCGGTGCCAAGACAAACTCACTTCCACCTGTGATATTGATTGGCTGGCTTTGCCCATGTGTACCCTACATGCTTTAAAAGGTTGACTGTTTCTGCCTTTTTCAAAAGTCCATTGCTGCCTGTACTCTAATAGTTTGGCTGGTCCAGAAAACAGCTGCTAAGGTTTGGACTGGAGCAAACTTTTGCGAGCTAATTATATCAGCTTACCTTGCTTCTGGCTTGATTTGCAGGCACAATTTGAGGTACTCATTATCTTTCAGTTTTTCAATGGCTTAATATGAGCACAAATGTTGTAAAAGTTTGTGCTGTAGGTACACTCAGTTTTTGCTCGGTATCAGCCTGACCAAAGAAATGAAACAGTCCCAACATTTGCACTTTAGTTTATGTTGATCATCTACTGCAAACTGTAAGGCTGACTAGAATGTTATAAGAATCCTTTGCAATTTTGTGTTTTCATTTTTTGTGGCCCCAAAGTTGTAGAGCTTTCAGCCAAGCAAGGCAAAACTGGACACCACAGTCAGTATTCAATATAACAATTTGAGGTGAATGTATGCACTCACAGAAACAATTCCAAACTGTCCATGGATATAAAATATGTTAGAGCTTGCTTCAAATGCCAAAGAAAAATGTGTCAGGGTTAACAGGTGAACAATCTGCAGTTTCTCAGTTGCAAAGGCTGCTTTCCTATAGAGGGAAATTGTGGCGAATTGGTGGATAAAGGGCTAACTAGCCCCATCTGCCCACTTCCTGACATCACACAGAAGGTGATAGTTAAGTACTTAATAAAAACAATTCAGTACTGCACTCTTCAAATATAAATGAGTAAGCCCATCAGCCTATGTGGACTAGCTTGCAATTTAGGGAACCTCAGCGAGGTGCGATCGACCTGTGCACAACTTTTCCCCAAAATGCAATGCACCAGACATGAACATGGCTGCTGATGCATTCTCCCACCTCCAACACTACCACAGATATCACTAGCAGCATGAGTTGCAGCATTTCCTTGATCATGTTGCTTGGTGGTTCCAATTGCTAGGCCTGGCCAATCCTATGTATCTCTTCTGGGAAATAAGCCCCACTGAGTTGAATCAGACTTATTCTTAAGTAAGTGTTAGCCCCTTAGGTTAATGAGTGGAACCCTCAGCATACTGATTCAGAAAGAAGGACAAGGGAGGTATATGGAACTGTGTTTAAGGACTGACTTCAGATAACCAGTGGGTGTTGCGGAGCTAATTAAAACTGCTGCCGATGCTCAATCCTTGCCTGTAGCCATGCATGGCCATCATAAGCAAGGTTTAAGCATAGCACTGCGCATCCAATTATCTAAAATGGAAGCATGCAGCATCTGCAGGACCACATGATTCTCAGACCCCAGGCTGGGAGCCAACACGCACTGCAATTTCTTGTGGCAGCCACACCCAACAGTTGCATCAATCAACTCTAGGGTAGAAGTGTAGGGGAAAAAGCTAATGCCTTGATAATCCAAGGCCACTTACCTAATCGTAATACTTTCCTGTTGCATTAGTACATTTCCAGTGGTCAAAGTGCTTCAACAAACATTATCTCAGCACTCCTTGCAACAGTCTTTATAAAGTATCATTAGCCCTGTATTTTATTTTGGGGGCTAAGCCTGGAATAATCAAGCCTTGGCTACAGTCTCCTGGTACATTCAAAGGTAGGATGCCACCTGAAGAAGGGATTAGTCACTCTCTGATCAGGACCAACTGAAAGATGGCTCCATGAACATACTTTTGAGTTCAGGAAAACTTTATCAGTCTCCCCTACACATACAAAATATAGCAACCAAAATGGGTGCTGGGAGGATGAGACTGAAAGCCCGTTTTGACTTTGTCCTTTTAAAGCCTCGTGTGCAGTTTGTAAGATGGTAAAGGAGGTGTTATGGAGACAACTGAATTAGTCTCTATGTAACTTTACTGGAAAATATACTACTCTAAATTTAAGAAGGCAAAAGTGCACTGGTCCAAAGGGCAAGCAGGATGTTCTAGGTAGCCCAATCTCTATAGATGAGTGAGTGGCTCAGTTTATTCCTTTGGAGCATGGGCATTTCCTCCTCCTAGCCCACAGTTCCCCAGCTGGGTCATACCAGATGTTCTTTAAAGCCATTTGCTCCTTATCTCTCCACTTTGTATGTGGATGGTGTAAGACCATCAGGGCTAATACACAAACACACACACAGAGGAAAGACACAATTCACCACTTTAGTCACAGCATTGGGTTGAAAGATGCATGACTGCTTTTCTACCTAATAATAATAAGATAATCAATGATTCCCTCATCAAACACCCCTAAATCAACCTTCTCACGACGCTCTCAAACTCTTTGAACAAGTACGCACACAAACATAACCAAAAAGAAAAGTAATTCAAGGTCACCCCCCACCTTATTCTTCAATTGCAATAATGTTGAAAGTTTGCAGGGCACAAAATGAGCTGTTGGTGTATTTGTTCTTAAAAGCACCTTTTTCTAAGAAAGTAGGAATAATTTCAACAGACTCGACCCGGGTCTGCCGCGAGTAAAGAATCACAACTGCTCCCTTCCAGAACTTTAATCTGCAGCGAACCCCAATTAATCCAACAGGATGCCTCCCCGCTGCGAGGCAGAAAAGGTGGTGGGAATCTGCATCCTTCGCATCTCGCTCCCCAGTGTGTCCAACTTGAACGCACACCGCACATTAACTTAGGCACTTAAAGACGCATTATACAGAGACTCTCTCTCTCTCGTCACCAGGCATCTCGGGCGTGAAAGGCCGGCGGTGCGGCTCGGTAGGCCAGGCACACTGCGCCCCCTCGCCGGCCAGCCGCTGCGCGCCAGCCGCCCGGGCGCACGAACGCGCCAAGCCGCGGCGGGCCAGGAGGGCCCCCGCCCCCTCCGCCGTCCAAGGTCTCCGCGGAAAAGGGGCCACTCCGTCCGGGCTGCGCTTGCCGGCCACGTGGGCGCCGCCGCAGCGCCGCGTCCGCCACTCTCTGGTCCAGGGATCGGAGCGAAGACAGGGGTGGGTGGGGGTCGAGCGAGCGCGCGAGGGGCCGGACGGACGGGCGCGCGGCGGGGGCTTCTTCAGCTGCCGTATCGTGCCCAGCGGTCCGGCTCCGCGGCCACCAGGCCTGCGCCGGCCGCCGTGGCCAGGCTGGTGACCGGCAGGACGACGGGCGCTTGGGGCCGCGTGGATTCCTCGTACGTGGGCAGGTACTTCACCTCCTCGTAACTGGGCAGCTGCAGGAAGCCGGGCGAGACGAAGTGCAGCAAGGGCGGCGGCGGCGGCTCGTGGTCCCCGCCGTCCAGGAGCGAGTCCTGCGAGGTGGCGGCCGTCGCGTTGAGCGGGGTGCCGCGGGCGGGCGAGTCCAGCGCCGCCTCGTCGTCCTCGTCCTCGTCGTCGTCGTCGTCCTGGCCCCGCCGCTGCCGCCGCCGCCGCCGCCGGGCGTGCCGGCCCGGGCTGGGACAGATGATGCGCTGCAGAAAGTAGCCGATGGCGAAGAGCACCAGCAGAATGAGCAGCCCGGAGAGCTTGCGCACGAACCAGCCCACGTTGTCCAGGAAGGTGTGGAAGGGCAGCGCGCAGCACTTGACCTCCGCGTGGGTGGCGTTCCCGTAGCTGCAGCAGCTCTCCTGCTCCGCGCACTTCAGCTGCCCGCAGTGCCCGTGGCAGGGGGGCGGCCACAGCAGCGCCGCCCCCAGCGCCAGCAGCCCCGCCGGGAGACGGGGCGCCATCCCCCGCCGGGCGCCCGCTGCGCGGCGGGGCTCCGCAGCTCCGGCCGGCGGCGCCTCGGGCTGCCCCCGCATCGCCCGGCCCCGGCCCCGGCTCGCTCGGGGCTCTCAGCGACCTCGCATCGTGCGCGTCCCGCTCCCGCGGCTGCCAAAAGGGGGACGTCCCTCCGGCCGGCCTCCCCGTCAGCCCGCCGGGCCGGCGGCCCCGGAGCTCCGAGCGGCCGAGCGGGTCCGGCTTGCGGCAGAGGCTGCAGCCCTCGCGGCTGGGTCGTGCCGGCGAGAGGCGGGAAAAGCTGGCATGTTGCGCGCGGCGGCGGCGGCGGCGGAGCGAGAACTCGGGCCGCGGAAGGGTTAAGGGATCCGACTTGGCTCGCCTTTTCGCCTTTTTTTGCCGCACTTTATAACTTTATTAATTTAGCTGTCGTCCTCGCCTTTTGTCAAAGGAGAGGAACAAGACGTGCCCCTCCCCGACAGTTGGTTCAGTTCCTGCTCTTAAGTGATTGGATTTTCCTTTGACTGTTATTTAAATTTACTTGCTACTGGGATTTGCTTACCATATTTCTGGTTTTATTTCTGATTAAAAATTGATGATAACCATCGGGCTGATGTTAATGGGTTTAATGCAGCTCGCCTTCCATTAGGGAGCTGGGGAGGCTTGGCTTTTTTGGCTGGGTTCCTGCCTGTCCTATCCAGGCGATGTTAGTGCGCATCTTCCTTTCTGGGGAATAGGCAGGATCCACAAGAACCGTCAACGTGGAGACATTTAACTTCTTGTGGTTTCTGTGAAAATTGCCCTTTTGGAACACTTTTATTTATTTATTGAAATGATTGCTGCTATCTTTTTATCATGATGGAGCCATAGAATGTAGGCAAGCGAAGCTGCACTTAGTGCTTTTACTAAGCCCAAGTATGACTTTAGAAAAGAAAGTGGGCACAGACACACATAGGCAAATAAGATGCTCTGACCAAAGAAGCTCACAATCTAAGCACGCACGGGGCACCATTGGGGGTGGGGGGTGGAGCAGAACATAAGGTGCCATCTCATGAAATACATTGCAGGCAGAACGAGAAGCCCGCATCAGCCAGCAGAACAGGAGAAGCGGTCAACCGCATTGGCCAGCACTGCTGCCCCACCATCTGTGGAAGGTGCTCTCCCACAGGAAGGGAGCGGCTGGAGGGCTTTCCGGAACAGTCCCCCATGTTTGGGGTCTGTAGGACACCTCTTCATATTTCAGAAGCATTGTAAGCTCCTCAGTGTATTACAGGAATATGGCATCTGCTTGTATATCGTTGCAAGAAGGCACGTGTTTATCCTTCCGGGTTTGCAATATTGGTCTTTATTTGTCAAAAGGACACCTCGAAAGATCATTCCAGAACTTGGGTGGGGCTACCAGAGGAAAGAACCTCTGACTCCGTGCTACCTTTCAGTCCTCAGAATGAAGGCACTCCTGAAGAAATGCTTCCATGTATGACCTTAAGGTATTCATAGGTACAGGTAGGGAGTTCCCAAGCTGTTATGCTTTGTAAGTCAGTAGTAGCACTTTGTAATTCACAATCTAATTGTTACTTATTATCTATATAATTGGATTTCTGCATAAACATCCAACTAATACAGCTAATACACAGAACTGTAACAATGAAAAACATTCCTAACAGTAATGGAGAAGTGCAGAATCATATATGAGAACAGGGAGTAGCACGCAGGGAGTGAATCTGGGGGTAGTTGCTGTTTGTTTGCAGAGTATATTCACACTCCTCCTACACCCTTAAGATGTTCTCTGGTTTGCATCACTCACAGGATCCCCAGAGTGAAAGATGCCTTGGGCAAAAACGGCAACCTTGAATGTAAGGTGATATTTTTAAGGAAAAGAATCAATGCACTTTGCCAGTTGCTTACTGTATTACAAACATGATGGTAAAAATTGAAATAAGCACTAATTTATGGCATCTGAGCAGAAATATGTTATTTTAAAGTGAAAGTCTTACATACCTTTAATTATGTATCCTTAGTAAAAATGCTTATCTGGAGCTGAAAAGAACAGTGTGTGTATCAGGTGAGCTTCTTTGAATGATTATTCCAGAATGTGGGCAGGGAAAGACCTTGTAACTTCTTTCTAATTTTCAATTCGCAGAATGAAAGGATGTCTGAAGAAAAGCTTCCATGGCTGTTCTTAAGGTATGGGTAGGTACAGGTGGGAGGAGACATTCCAGAAGGCTAAGAATTAGCTTCCAGAAGCCCAGTGAATTAGGCTACAGTGGCAAACAGTAGCAGCCTAAGTAGCTTCGGACAGAGAGAATTTGCTTCTAGGTCTTTGCACTCTTAACTCAACCAGCAAATATCCTAAGACTGCAACAAACAGTATATTTTTGGTCACTAACATCATGATCTATTTTTTCTTCCTCTGTGTACACGTGTGTGTGTGTGTGTGTGTGTGTGTGTGTGTGTGTGTTTTAACATCAAATTGGAAAAAGAAGCCTGGAGAACTTGTTTGTGACATTGTGGCATCTTGACAAATTCTCATAAGAGTCGTTTCTTGAGGTTCTCTGCTCCCCCATGAATGAACATGACTAGCCACTATTTTTAACTAAAGCAAACTCATTCTCAAATCTGGGTCTTGACCATTGTAAAAATATGTTCCTCTAAGGATTCAGAAGCATGCAAGCAATCAGATCCTTGAAGCTAGTATAATGAGTCCTATGGACACCTGATGTTCTTAATATTGTGGCATTGCACTTGCATTTTACAGTGGCAATCATATATGTCTCTTCTCAAAAGTGTGTCCCACTCAGGTAAATTGGGTTTACTCCCAGATAACTGGGCATGGGATTATAGCTGTAGAGTATGCCTAGGTTATCATATCAATTTTACAAGTGCCCTGGTCTCTTGATTTGAGAGCTTATAGGATCTCTTCATTTGGTAAGGTACCAGGAGCAGATGCATGCAGGGTTCTGTGGAATAAAGGCAGTGATATTGTGCCTGCTGAGAATACGCTATTAGAAATACTTAGTCCCCCTCCCAAATTTGATTTAAATAGGATCAATCATGTACTAACCCAGAAAGATAAGTTGAGAGTTTGGGTGTTCAGGACCACAGTCAGTTCTGCTTTATTTGCGGTGTGTGTCCATAGATTGCATCCTCCAATGGATGAAAGAACAGCAACCTTGTCAATGATTAAACCCAACCCCAGGCAGGCTAAACCAATCTGTTATTAAGGAAAACAAATCCATTGAAGAGTGCCTATTTTGAAGTTCCTCACTAACAATGGAAAGTTTGCACTCTGAACATAAAATTACAATAGTAAGAATCCAGATAGCATACTTGCCTCTGGGGATGTGTCTACTTCAGAGTAGAGTTGCAACAGAAGCAAAGATAAAGATTTCAGAATATATCTGGGAATGAAAAAATGGGAAGCATAATCAGGAAATCACAGCCTTATGATTCTCTGCAGGCTGTACAGGTGCTGGGCAAAACTTAGCATGACTACAAGCCTCAATCTACTTTCTAGGAATTAAATTCCATTGCAATCAGTGGGATTTTCTTATGAAAAAATGTTGCAAAAGCAATTGAGCATGATATCAGTGGGATTCAGTTGTAATATGTTTGCTGGGCAGAGCCCCAAGATATTTACAGTATTAATAAATAATGCATTTACTTATTTACTTCTTGACTTTCTGATTCTCAAAGGTCAAAATCCAATACAGAGTTAAATCTGCTTATGCCCAATGATTTCCATAGGTTTAGGCATGCCAAATTCAGCTTGGGACTCTGGCCAAGTTGGGTAATATAGAACAAAATATCCAAATAACATTGCTATTATCAATAAAAATACACCATTAAAACACATAACATTTCAAGACTGGATCATAAAATGGTAGAAGCACTGGATAAAATCCTAAACCTGCTCATATCACTTTCACAGTAACCAGCCAACAATCCCAGCTATGCAGATGTTATAGATAATCAAGCTTTCTTGACTTTTGTTATCCTTGATGGAGTTGCTCTTTTCTCAGCCCCAGGGGAATGTTTGACTTCTTGCTCTAGGACTTATGCAGAAAACCTGATGAGCATCCAGGATTATATCTAGCTCTTATTACTATGCCAATAATGATTTTCTGGGTGGAATACATCGGTATAGCTGAATGTAATATATAAATTTTGTTATGCACACTGTAGCTATTCTGATTTTTTAAAACAAAGAGATCATTTTACGAGTCCTCTTTCAATAGCCTTGAAGTCATGTCGAAATTATTATCTAGTGTTGAAATTTATACCAGGCCTATAGAGCCAAATTCACTCTTAACTTTGTTGAAGTCACTCCCTTTGCCAGCAGTTGCTTTTGGCACAAATCTATCCAGTATTATATACTCAGCTGATCTTATCTAATGTCCCACAGATTATTTGGAATTGCCTGTGCTATTGCTTATATAATATGATAGCTGCTACTTTCAGAGGAAGCCAGGTGAATTGCCTGTTATGTATAAAGATATGAAGCTAAGTCCAACATTAGTCCTAGTGTGCATGCTGCAATCTCAACTATTGGTTATTATTTTAAAAATATGAGATGGAATCCATGCTCGGTATAAACCAAGGCTAAAGGACCTTTAGCCCAACCCCTCTGCAGAGGCACTCAAGAAAACCTGGGATTTGATTTGCAGATAAGGAACAGTAAGAGGAGGCTGAGGACTCAGGGCTACAGCAGCTGGAGACTGGTGTGAATAGCATGGCTCTCCTGAGACCCTGGGAATACTGAGCCAGAGGAAAGAGGAGGAAAGAAGAGGGAATAGGCACGAGAGATCCCAAGTTAGCTGTCAAATGAGGATGGAGGAGTAGTGTAGCGCCATGTGACATCTGCAGCAAGCAGCCACCAAACACACTGCTCAAGAAAAGGATCCACCTTGAAGGCAGGGCTTCATTAGCACTGTTATAATGATGCCCTAATAGTTTGGTTTCCAACTGTCTGATCTTCACATTAGCTTTACAGCATACCAAAACAGCTCGATTC